GTTGGTAAGTAAAAAAGGTAGCTTCTTTCAAATTTCTCCTGCTTATGCTGGTTGTTGTCTGTTGTTGATGTTGTTAGTGCTGTTGACAGGCAGGAATCTTCATCATCACCACATCTGTTTTCTCTATTTTCACCTAAAGGAAGTCCTATCTTCTCTGGACGCTTCTTCTGCCAACTTGTTGCTTTTCACTTGCACATCTTCCGGTTTGTGAGATATCAAACATATATCATCGGCGAAATACAGATTCAGATTCTCCAAGTTTTGTTTTTTGTGGGTCCATTTTATGCCTTGTATTGTATAAGCCAACTCCTGTGCTGTTCAGAAAGCTTTATTGTTTTATCGAAATATGAATCGCAACCCATACACCTTGCTGTCTGATAGAAGCGTATTTTGTATTAAGGACGTCGTTTAAACAAAATAGGTAGGAAGTTCAGATATATATAAAAAAACTAGCAAACAAATCTAGAAATGCAGATAGGAGTTGAAAACGTGAAAATAAGAGAAATAAACAGGAAGGTTGGACACGAAAGTTAAGTTGATAATTAATCACTCATCATGTGACTGACTTTTCATGATGACGACGGGAGAGACAATGGTTGCAATGGACGTTTTTCTCTTCATCACGTAGTGTGAGCTTCGACTTTTGGATCATCAGTAACTCAGCTGTTCCCAGCCAGATGCATTGAACCACTCACTATGATAGATTTGATCGGATCTTGTATATGAATTTCAAGGACTTTTCAAATTTGGAGCTGAATATCCTGAATTCACCAGATGTTCCGTGACCGAACTCTGTAAATCTTTGCCTATTCTTTTTGCTAACCATATTGGTTAGTGTTTCTGAGGGAGTTATACAAGCGGGGGCATCGTTCGGCCAATGTACTCTGTGTTCTTATGCATGTTGAATTGGCCAAATGTGACAGCTTTTCTTTCAAGTACGTGTTGGTTGAATAGTTTTTTGTCGGAAAAATGTTACTTTTAGGTTGGCGGTTGGCGAAGTATGTTTTACTGAGAGACTTCAAAAGCCGTTTACGCAGTAGTTCTGCTTCGGTATAACTTTCGAATTTGAGGTTAAGTACCCCCAGCATCTGTTTGAGAATGACTTGAATATTTTTCAGGCGTTATCTTTAGTTTTACCATCTTCTCTATGAAACTGAGGAAACCACTCTGTAAATAAAGACGAGTGTGGAGACCAGGAGAGAATAAAGAAGTTCTGTTGAAGTGTTATGTTTTACTCGAAACCTAAGGGATTATCAGTTATAATAACAACGGACAACAAGTTGGTGAAGAAGGCTGAAAAGTGAATCCAAAATTAATGGGTGTCGCAATACATTATTTGCTCTTGGTATAAGGTAGTTAAGGGTTATTGGTCACAGTAGGCTCTTTCTATGCCTAGGTTTCGTGCTAGTTGGCACTCATCAGCCACCAAGTGGAATGGCAGCCACGTTGCAAAACCTGACTGACTGATAGTATTCAGTCTGCAAAACCATCAAGGACTAGCCAGATACACATCACACTAGATACTGACTAGTGTCCAGTGTAAACGAGTTTGTATTATCAAAATTGCAAATACGCTTGTGCTGTCTTTATTCAAACGAATAAAAAGTAAAATAATAACGCTGAGTGCTCCTACACGAATTATTCAATCAGCTATGTGATTAGAAATTAGGCAATCAGTGAAATTAGATTTTTCAAAAAAATTATATTCAATACTGTAATATAATAACTGAGACATTCTTTGGATTACTTAGAAAAACGAAATTAATTCCATTATACTAAGCAAACTTCTCCGTCTACTAATTCCTCTCCCACCCCTATCCCAAACCCTCCTTTGTATTATTCACACATGTTTCCCTCTGTAATACGCAAAAACATGGAAATGAAATGAGGCGTAATCAATCAGTTATTTGTCCCTATGCGTAAACATGAAGTCTGTATATATACACGACTGCAATTCACGGTTGATATATACCTAGTGAAATGATTAAATAACAAGTTAAGAAAGTCAGTTCAGGCAAGCTACAAGTTATATTTTCTACACAACGACCGATGGTGATTCCTCAGTTGAAAGATGAAGTACCTAGACTAGACTAGACCCTTTTAATTGTGTTAACCAATTCAATTGCGCTTGTGATGGAGCTATTTATATTTACGGTTGCTCTATGAACTTGATTTTCTGTGGTCGCTCGGGAACATCTACCACTATGGATAATTAAAGGTGTAGATTGAAGCATCAATAGCTGGATAAGAGAACACCTGATTCAAACGATCCAAAAAGGCAATATTGAAGAGTCATTCTCCATCATGGAGGAGATCGCGCAGTTAGGATGAGTAGGGCATGCGCGATTCTAGACAACTGTAGAATCAACCAGCTGACTAGAACAGAAGAAATTTGGAACCCAAAGGAATCATAATAACAGTAAAAATAATCCTTGTTCTTTTTACAGTGTTTTTTCCATTATTATTACTATTTTATCTGAAACGGTACTGTTATTCAAGTATTGGTTTGTAGGGATTTGATTGATTTTTAAGACGACTTTATCATGAATTGACATCGGTTAATGAACTACTGGATAACCCCCTAGGAGTACTGGATATTCGTTTCTCCCCAGTTTAGGACTCCACTCCATCAGTGCGCACCTACCACCAGGATTCGGACCCATTACCTTTTAGTTAAATGAGCAGCGAGCCTATAGACCATTAAGCCACTTCAAAAAATCAATCAAATCCGTACAAACTAATACTTGAATATCAATGAGATGCTCACTAGCGGCTGGCCCTATTCCGGTGGGTAATTAGCTTCGGTTCCAGTTGGAATTTGCAACCCGTAGTGTACAGCAGGTCGGTCTTGAGGACAAATACTCGCCTAGGACATTGGCTTGTGCTGCGCCATGTGGTGCGTGGACGGACAGAAGTATCAATTCCTGCATTGGCTGGACATCGGATTAGGTCCCAGTAGTTTAATGGTCTACGAGGTTGCTAGAATTGCAGCCAGAATATCCTGGGTTCAAACCCTGGCGGTGGATGAGTAGTGATGAAGAGCCAGTCCCAGACTAGGAAGAAACATTTATGCAGTACTTTCAGGTTTTTCATTGGTTCTCTAACCGATGTCAGTGCTCATGATGCAATCCTGTTAGTTATCTAATGACATGTTCAAATTGAAAATCATAGATGAATATTATTATTGGTGTGTTGTCTTCAGATAACCTTGTAAGTTCCAACCTGATTATTTAGTCAGTCCTCTATGGGTTTACATATGTGTGCAAATTATTTATTCGCTTTTACAAAGTTCCCACGTATTTGAAATATTATCAAGTCTATATGTTTTAAAATTTGTTGATTCTATCACTTTATTTGTCAATATATAACACTCTGATGATAACAATAATAATAATTTGCTTTACTCCAAAAGCTGTGTCCACGATACAGCATAGAATTTCAAGCATTTTGTACACTAATAAATCCAACACGCTGAAACGTAGTCACAGGGTATAGGTAAACAGAATTGATAATAACAAACATTTTGGCATGCACGGTAACAATGAAGTCAACAATCTACAATCAAAAACTTCTACAATCAGTTTAAAATAATAATAATAATTTTAGATGTTTGGAGGTTATCGGCCACAGGAAACTCTGTCTTAACCTCCATCAATCAACAAGGCATGTATCTGCAACCACATTGAAAGAACAACTCATGTTCCTCCTTTCGAGATTTGAACCTGCGTCACCCAGTGACTACTGCTTTATTAATGTATCCACCACTGAGATATTTTGGCTCGCGATTCACCATCTCTTAGGACTGCATTAGATGCTTTCATGGGACACCTGTAACTAGTTTATTGTGTCAAGTTTTTCGTGTTGGTGCAGAATGAATTCTATTAGTCAGTCAGGTTTGCAATGTGACCACCACGCCACTAATTGGCTAGCTCACCATGACGGTATACTTTGAGTTGTTAATATTAGATGGTTAGAGGCAAACAGCCACATGAAACCTTGAACCTCATAACTGACTGATAGAATTCACTCCACATCAATTCCAAGTACTAGACACATTATACACTAGTTATTGACTGGCGTCAAATCAAAATTGTTATCTTCTGTGATCATTATTCACACAGTAGTAGTCAGAGTATCCAGATTTTATAAGATGAGAGTTATTTCTGCTGGAAGGCTTTATTGGTTGGAAGATTTCACCATGAGCATTGACATCGACTGGTTAGAGAACCATTGGAGAACCATTGATGAGTATAGCCAGACAGCTGTTTCGTCCCTCCTAGTTTAAGACTCCACTTCAACACTACGCACCCACATCACGGAGTTCGAATCCAGGGCCTTCCTGTTACTGAGACCCTATCCAACGGCCCTCCTATAAACTCAAACTTCTGCCAGTTCTTGACATAGCGAGACCGATTCCCAATGTCTTCTTTAATGAGTAACTCTTCTCACTTTCGTTCGACCCACCGTACCCTACTGGTGACAACTTCCCACTGGAATACCAGGTAACTGCCTACATGAATACGGCCAGTCACTAGTGAGCATCAGATAAATTATCAAATGTTGGTTTTTTTGTAGGGATTCTGTTTGTTTGATTGGTTGGAGGATTTTATTTGACATCAGTACTCATAATAAAATCCCCCCACCAACCAATCAATCAAATAAACAAACAAAATAGACCCTGAAAAACCAATACTTGAAGGCTTTATGTTGTTGTTTGTCTTTCATGATGTTAATTGCTTTATGAGTTAACACGCTGTACTATATTACTGAATTGTATAGCTCATACATTAACTTGGCAACTCATTCATCCAGCTAGCCAGCCAGCCAGTTGCTCACTCACTCATACACACACATACAGAAACACATATGTATAAAAAGTCGGCTATTTGTTTAATCAAATTAACCAATGAAATTATGCGACATTATACTACTGAGTTTGAATATGATTTTAGCTTATATAATATACACTGGATGTTTTCCTATGCCTGATACTATGCCTACTGCAATAATTAACTTTACTTTTCAATATACATATAACTACTCTGTTTTCATTATCAAAGGCAAAACTTAACGCTAGAACAAGAAATAAGTCTTATGTTAACACTTGAATTATACAAGCTAACAGTGAGATAATGAGTAATACCCACATATATATTCTGTTCTGAGGAAATCCTATTCTCCTGAACCAGCATCAATTCTAGATTACTACATTTTCATTTTATTAAGTGCAAAATGAATCAGTACCAATTTGAGAAATCGATGAATAGAATATCCCCGAGAGGTAAGAAAATGATGCTCTACTATTGTTCATATTATTTGTGAATTTTTGTAATTTTGTAAGTTTTGGTTTTTGTAGGGGCTAGTTCGTTTGCTTGATTGGTTAAGGGATTTCATCATCAGCACTGAGATCGATTGGTGGTTAGAGAACCGTTGGAAAACCAGTAACAGGGAGTATTGTGAGACGACTGTTTCGTCCCTCCTAGTTTGAGACTTCGCTTCAGCAGTATGCACTCACATCACAGGGTCTGAATCCAGGAGTTTTTGGTTACAAGGTGAGCTAGATTGTGGACCATTAAGACACTGTCATGAATTGGCAGAAGCAAGAAGTCATGGACTGGCTGGGTGGTCATTGTATATGGTTCCATTGAGTGGCTGCTTAAGGTCCACGAGCTTCCTTGCCTTGTAAACAGAAGAGCCAGTCTCAAGCACTAGGCTGGAGGAAACAGCTCTCTGGCAGTGCTCCACAGTGGTTTGCCTGTGGTGCTCTAACTAATGTCAGTGCTCATGATGAAATCCTCCAAACAATTTTTGTAATCTCTGTTTCATGTGAAAGATTGAGATTAATGAACAAAGAATATTCTAGACTAGTCAGCCAGCTTTAAATAAACGTGTATAATTTTTTGTGCTTCTGTTGAGCGGCTAGTTATGATGGTCATTGCTTTAGGTAGTCAATTATTCATTCTCGATGATACCTACCAGTGTGTTTGATAAATTAAAAACGTTGTTATTACCATTAAAAATTATACTATATATATTCTGATGAAACTGATTTTGTTATGTACGCTGGTGATCCATTTTACTGTTTCTATGTCAGGGTTTACTTCTTGGTCAGACTGTTCTAAAATGAAAAACATTTTAATAAGAGATTAGTCAGTTGACCTTGTCAACAAATAGTCTTAAGCTTAATGTCTTCATCCAAATGTCAGGTGGGTAATTTCACTCTCAGATGCAAAGGTGACTTACGTGAACTGGTTATTTCACATGGTTCCATTATCATAGATGCCAGAGAAGTTGAAACTAAATCGTATGCTATTAAATGCTGTGGACTATGCATTTTGTCTGATCACCTTTCCTCGTCATCCTACGTCATGTTAGTTAGTTTCCGGAAAGATATTTCATTTGACGTTCTGTGAAATGAAGTTAAGACGATCGGGTATCATTCTGTCTCTAATGTGACCATTTGTTAATTCTTCTATTCTGCCCAAAAATTCTTTACTGTTCCCTTACCCCACACAGCCACCTTAAGCTTTCCTGGACCACTTAAGAAAGAATTTGTTTCTTATATTGGGAAGGGTGCTAACAGCTTTCATTACAGTGAGTGAGTGGGATGTTGTTACGCGAACTTATTATTACTGTTGTAGATGGACACAGGTACTCAAGCAAAAAATTATCATATATTATCTGTTGTCAGACTTTGAACATCTTCTCCATACACAACTCTCTCATTGCATCTGTGTCATCGGACAGGTGAACTATAAGCCACTACAAACGACTGTTTGCTCAGATGACTGAGTAAAAACTCCACAATGCCCTATTTAGTCGGGATACATTTTATGTGTTGAGAAGGGTGTGTAGGTCAGGAAACTGGTAACTTACTGAGCAACTATAAGTAAACGGAATTGATTTTTGTTCTCATGGTTACATTGTTGTTAATTTTTTCACTTGATTTAATTTTATATTCACTTCTTATTGAACAATATTGTTAATTCTTATTATTGCTAATGTGAATGCCCTATTTTAATTATTGCCCCGGTAATGAGACAGTGTGATGCAATACTCACTGGACTACTACATGCTGAAAATTGCATGGTTGTACCAGAAGTACTGTTTGGAATTAAGTTATTATTATTTTTTTAAATTATTCAAAAATATTGCATTGCCTCGTTCATACAGACCATAAATCAGCCTCAGTTGCATCCTCCTGAACTCTCCACTATAATATGCATACGTTCACTCTATTGTTCTACGTCTAATTTTGTCTCTAGTCCATCCTTGTATCCAAGAGAAATCTGAATTCTACCCCTTTTTCCAATCTCTGCTTAAATAATTACTGTCTTTTAACACCGAATAATTGTGTACCTACATCATCTTGGAAATTACTTTGCCTTTACTCTCTACCTATAACTTGTAGTCATTGGTAAAAAGTATGTTCAGCGGCTATTTTGTAACTTATAATTGACTTTGTTCAGGATGCACGCAGCAGTTGAAGAGATTTAATGCATGAAATTAAACGAGCCCGTATTGTAACAGCAGAAGGCAAGACAGGGAAGACAAGATATATTTTCAGTTGATCAAACAGCTATTTACATATATCTATACAGTTTATATTATTTAACCAATTATCGATGAAAGAGCGTGTCGTTTTGGTTTACATTAAGCGATATTAAATAGAATTTGTTGATACAAATACAGTATTATGTTGCTAACGCAACACTTTGTCTGTGTCGCACCACCACACTCGTCCCCTCACTGAATCAAATACTTTCTACTGCAGTCGATTCGATCTTCTTGGTGATGTCGTCTTTGTTGTTAGTCTTGCTGTGTTTTTGTTTCCACTTCTGATAGTATATAAGTGAATCGATCTCGCGGTGACCGTGTATACTCCTTCCGAATTTGAAAGCAGTTTACGTGACCCTAGCTGGCGCGTATTCGCCGGTATTTCGCTTCACACTATCATATACCGCCTTCCTATGACCACAGCCTGGTTCCAAGTAACAGCCTATTCGCTGACGGATCTTGAACACCATTCAACTCTTCAACAGCCTCGAAATCCTGCAAGAAGATGCATATGTCTCCTTTTTCAAAAACTGCAGGGCATAGTCTTTTCATTTGTCGGCAAGGCAGTGCACACCTAATGCAATAGCAGAAAGCAAGGCACGGAAGTCAAAGTATATTTTCAGTTGATGAAGGCGCTATTCACATATCTATACAGTTTATATTCCTTAGCCAATCTGTGAATGTGCGGTTTCGGTTTACATTAAGCGACATGAAACAGAATGTTCAAATATACATATATACATATATAGTATTCTGTTGCTAATGCAGTATGGAATTGTGGGAATAGTATGTCAGTTAGAGAACCACTGGATAACCTGGGAGTACTGGATAGCCGTTTCCCAAACTAGGACGAAACAGCTGTCCAGTATTCCCAGGTTTTCCAGTGGTTCTCTAAATGATGTCAACTTATGATGAAATACGTTAGCTTTGTCAAGCAAAAATTAAAATAAGTTAGGGTTATTGTTGTCAAGACATTTCAAAAAATATTATGAATAATCAAACTGTAACTAAACGGGGGGAGGGTGAAGATTAGTATGAGGGCAGTGGTGATGAGTTGTCATAAAAAACATCCTTGTTTATGTAAGTCAGTGCATAAGAGAAGTTGTAGTTGCGCAACAAGATGAATAATTTAATGAGTGAGTGGTGATTAGGATGTACATAGAAATGAAGCTAAGGGATGTGTGGAATTATGTGAGAGCAGTGAATAAATACAAGAGTTCTAAGGAGTGAGAAAAGAAGGCAAGCACACAAACATCAAATCAGTCGCCATGTCAGTTATCAGTTGTTGCCATGGTAGTAGAAATGGTTGAATGATTTTCACATGTATACATAACTCTGACTTTTCCAACTGAGTGACTAAGGTTTAAGCAATACAAATAAGACGATAGCATATTGCCGTTGGTAGGTTAATTTTCATTGAATCTGTAGATTACTTTGAAGGAGGAAACGTTTGTTGAGATGAAATGGTTAGGATTGTTTACAAGGTGTTCGATTATCACACTCGTGATATCCAGTCATGCGGAATAGTGTTTTCGAATCCTTTTGGACAGGATACACTGTGGCTATCTCCACAGCAACAGGTGAAATGTTACGTGCACATTAAAGTGATCAGATAAGAGATGAGATCTTCTTCTTAAGGTTTCTGCAGATCAATGGACGACTGAAGGACACTACTCTCAGCGTTGATGCGAAGAATGTTCTTCTCAAAGATGCTGAAATTCTTCTCTTGAGCGAGGATATCGTAGACTAAGTCTCCTTTGAATTCCAGGTTCATGTAAAGTTTCTTTTTTACAAGAAGTTATGTTCCGTTTCTCTGAACTTTTGGTCTGATGTACTTGTTGATGAATCTTGTTGCGTATTCATTTTGGATGAAGGTTAATTTCAGAAGATCCATCTCTGCTTCCAGGATGTCATTACTGTAGATGCGTCGAATCTGAGTGGCAATGGATTTAATTAGATTTCGTTTTCGTTCAACTGCCATCCAACTGTAGAACATTATTAGTTGACCGTTCTAAGTGGGTTTTCTATGGACTGACCTTGTTACTGTTTCGTAAGGTCATCTTGTTAATTGCACATCAAGAAATGGAATTTCGGATTCATATTCCACTTCTAGAGTGCATTTTACTGATAGATGTCATTTGTTGAATATTTGTAGCAGTTGATTGAGGTCGTAGTTATTATCGTAGATGATGAATTTGTCATCTACATACTGCTTATACAGTTGTAAATTGTCAACGGATGACAGTAATGGACCACTCTCAAGACAAGCCATAAAACAGTCTGCTGGTAATACACCCAAGGCAGATCCTATTTCAGAAGCACCTTTCTTGTTGGCATTTGCTTTCATTAGAAGTGAACTGTATATTTAGAGTACACCTCAGCAGCAGTTCTTTTAAATATGTTGCTGATATTTACATATAAAACTGACAGTTTCTGTTATTGAGACATTGGTGAGAAGTGATTAGATATTGTCGAAAGATAGTCTAATTTTGTCAGTAACATTCATATCTTGTATGCAGTCAATAAACTAGAGGGTGTCATAAAGCAAATATTTGCATAGATTTTTCTCTACACACTTTACATTATCAGCCAGAGATCTTGCAAAAGACAGACTGAAAAGGGGAACTTGATATATTTAGAATTGGACAGAGTGAGTGACCAACTTTGTGTATCTTTGATAAACTATTAAGCCTTGTTATTATTGAACCTGTTGAAATGGAATGA